ATCTAACAAGAAATTACAAATCAAGAGCAGATCCCTAAACTTAGATCTCTCTAATAAACACTGTAGCTACAGTGTTAATACCCACAATAAACAATAAAGGGAATAAACCCCTTTCAGATCTCTCTCTCTCTCTTCTTCTTTTAAATCCCTTTTCTTAATCTCCCCTCAAAAATCAAATGAGAGCTGGAGATTGGGAACGCTGCTGCGTTTAAAAGGAGGCAGACGCGATGGTCGGAGTCGACAAATGCCGAGGGTCGCGTTCTTCGTGCTTGAGCAACGCGAGGGTCAGGTACGCGTTCGAAGGTCGCATCTCGCTCGAGGGTCGCGTCTCGCTCGAGGGTCGCGTCTTCGACTGCGGGGCTCGAACTCACCTGGGGGGTTCGTCGTCGACTTCGCCAGCGTCATCTCCGAGCTCGTCGGAGCTCCTCGTCGCCGGCGGAGGTTGGTTTCCACCCCCAATTCTAACAATCTCCCACTTGGAGACCAAACCGACGCCAACAGGCTATCTCATCAAGCTCCTCTTCTGTGTGTCTCCGCCCTCATCATCTATACATGAAGGCAAACTGAAGTTGCGCACAACTCCAGTTTCTGAACGGTCACCGTCTTTGTTAACATGTCTGCTGGATTCTTACTTCCTGGAATTTTTTCCAGTTTCAACACGTCATCTTCAAACAGGGATCTGATGAAGTGGTACCGAAGCGCAATATGCTTCGTTCTAGAATGAAATGCTGAATTCTTCGCCAAGTGTATCGCACTCTGGCTATCACTGTGCAAAACATTCTTCTCCTGTTTGAATCCCAGCTCTGTCAACAAACCCTGAAGCCATATCATCTCTTTACTGGCTTCAGTCACTGCAACGTACTCAGCTTTTGTAGTGTGACAGCTGTAGTTCCAACGGTAAATACATAGCCGGTGGTGCTTCTTCGGTGATCAACTTCGCCGCCGAAGTCTGCATCTACGTACCCTTGCACTTCTACCTCTCCCTTACCAAAGTGCAAACACTTCTGTGTGGTGCCTCGTAGATATCTCAGAATCCACTTGACCGCTTCCCAATGAGCTTTTCCTGGATTTGAAATAAACCGGCTGACCACTCCCACTACATGGCCAATGTCTGGTCTTGTACAGACCATTGCGTACATCAAACTTTCGATAGCTGAGGCGTAAGGTACCTGAGCCATACTCTCTTTCTCTTCTTCTGATTGAGGAGACTGATCCTTCTTGTTTCAGGCCATACAAGCTCTTCTTGAGTCTGCACACCAGGTTCTTTTTCTTCTTTTCTTCTGAGAAACCTTCTGGCTGGTGCATGTATATCTCCTCTTCTAGATCTCCGTGAAGAAACGCCGTCTTCACGTCTAACTGCTCGAGATGAAGATCTTCAATTGCTACAATACTCATCACGGTCCTGATAGTATTTAGCTTTACCACGGGAGCGAAAATATCGGTGTAGTCAATTCCTTCCTTCTGCTGGAAACCTTTGACAACCAATCGGGCTTTATATCTCCTGGAACCATCTTGCTCCTCTTTTACCCGGTACACCCATTTGTTGTGGAGTGCCTTTTTACCCGTGGGCAACTCAGCTAGTTCCCACGTCTGGTTTGATATGAGAGACTTCATCTCATCTTTCATTGCAAGCTCCCACTTGCTCGCATCTCCACACTGACAAGCTTCATCAAAGCTTTCAGGGTCCCCATCATCTGTCAGCAACAGATAGTTCATATATCTCCTGTTGGGTACAGGAGGACGAGAAGATCTTCTTAATATCGGAGCTGGTGCGTCGGGCTCCTGCGCACCATCTTGTCCAATAGGCTCTTCTTGCTGAGGACCATCTGCATTGGGTTCTTCCAAGAGGTTACTCGGGACATCATTTGCATCTACAAATATTGACTCGCTCTCTGAGTTATCTGTCTTGTGCATGTCCTTGTGCATCACCTTCTCGTTGAATATCACATCTCTGCTCCTGATCACCTTCTTGTTTTCGTTGTCCCAAATGCGGTAGCCGAACTCATCTTCACCATAGCCGATGAAAGTGTATTTCTTTGACTTGGGATCAAGCTTATTCCTGCCTTGATCACTAATATGCACGTAAGCTACACAACCGAAAACTTTAAGATGTGAGAGTTTTACCTCCTTTCCGCACCATACCTCCTCTGGTATTCTGTGCTCCAATGGAACCGATGGACCTCGGTTGATCAAGTAAGCTGCTGTGTTGACCGCTTCTGCCCAGAACTGCTTCGGTAGGCCTGACTGTACCCGAATGCTTCTGGCTCTCTCTGTCAACGTTCGGTTCATCCGCTCAGCTACACCATTTTTCTGAGGCATACCGGGCATGGTTCTTTCCATTCTGATCCCGTGCTCATAGCAGAACTTCTTGAATCCGGTGTCTTCATATTCACCGCCATTATCGGTCCTGAGCTTCTTTATTCTCAGACCGGTCTCATTCTCGACCATAGCTTTCCATCTCCTGAAAGCTTCAAATACTTCTGACTTATGCTTCAGAAAGTAGACCCACGCTTTCCGAGAGTGATCATCGATAAAAGTCACGAAGTAGTGTTTTCCACCAATGGACGCGGTGGTTGTTGGTCCCCAAACATCTGAGTGAACGAGCTCTAGCTTCTGCTTCCTGGGGTTCTGCCACTTGTCTCAAAGCTGACTTTCTTCTGCTTTCCAAGTATACATTCTTCACACATTTCCATCTCCACTGACTGTAGTCCTGGGAGTTTTCCCTTTGTGTGCATGATTTTCATCCCCTTTTCACTCATATGACCGAGTCTCTGGTGCCACAGCTTTGAAGTCTCATTGCCTGTTGCAACTGAGATCGAACAACGTGCACCTGCTGTCATATATAGGGTACCAGTCTTCCTGCCTCGGGCAATCGTCATTGCGCCCTTTGAGATCTTCCAATCATCTCCGTGGAAGGTCGTGGTATATCCTTTGCCAGCCAACTGGCCTACGGATATTAAGTTCTTTCTCAGGTCGGGTGTATGCCTGACATCCTTCAGCTCCCATACTGACCCGTTCAACTTAATTTTCACCACGCCTTTGCCCACAATAGCACATGGTTGATCATCACCAAGATATACGTATCCAAGATTTCCGGGGGTATACTTCTCGAAGAATTCTTTCTGAGAGGTAGCATGGAACGACGCTCCTGAATCTAACACCCAAGATTCCTCCTTGCTCTCCAAAGAGCATATCAATGCGTCGTCTCCTCCTGAGGTGGAGGTGACATTCACCTCTGCCTTCGCCTCCTTCTCCTTCTGTGCACTCTTGCACTGATTCTTGTAATGCCCGGTCTTTCCACAATTCCAACACTCGATAGCCTTCGAGCTGTTGCTTGGATTCCTTGATTTGGACCTCCTGTCCTTTGATCTACCTCTGAAGTTTGATTTTCCTCGTCCGTTTCCTCTGGTTGAATTTCTACCTCTTGACTCTGTATGCAATACTGAAGAGGTTGTAGCTTCACCCGTTTCTCTCCGTCGGATCTCCTCACTGAGAACCAAATCACGAACGTCGCCGAACTTCAACTTTTTCTTTCCCGACGAGCTACTCACAGCTGTGACTGTAGTCAACGCCCGAACTTCATCATCAAACTCAATCTCAACTGAACTCAATTGGGTTGTAACCGTATTAAGCTCATTGAGGTGTTGTGCTACTGACGCGCCTTCCGCCATTTTCAGATTGAATAACCGCCGCATCAAATGAACTTTGTTCGCGGCTGATGGCTTCTCATACAT